TGTCCATGCCTCAAATTTATGTCCCGTTTGCAGAGAGGTTTGCATAAGTAAGCCTTTGGCCAAGCCAACAACTTCGGCTTACAACACAAGGGCACAATCTCGACAACAAGGTTCGGCTAGCACGTCCAGTGAGGCAAGGCGAACTAGTGTTAGTCCAAGCCCACCTAATACCGTCAACCTCAGTACTGTTGGTAATTCAAGCCTTTCTCCTGAGGTCGGAGCAGCGATTGCAGAAGCTGTTAAAGCAATGCAGACTGGATTAATGCTGGAGTTAACTGGTCAGATAGGGAGATTACTACAAGAAAATCTTGCAGCTCAATTGTCAGCTGCACCAGCGGCAGCCACACAAGCGGCCCCTGCAGCAACGGCAGAATCAAGAAACATATCGTTAGAAATACCAGATCAGACCGCTTCTTTGCAACAACTATTGGGCATTGGCTCTAACAATGCCATTAACATACCATCAACGGCACCTCCTAATGCATCGCCTCGTTCGATCAATTCTAGCTTGTTGAGTAGACCCGATAAAGTTGGCCAAATCATTACTAGCTGGAAACTTAGATTTTCTGGTGAACGCAGTAGTTTGTCTATTGATAATTTCTTATACCGGGTTGAGGCTTTGACTCATCAAACTTTGGAAGGAAATTTCGATTTATTATGCGGAAATGCTAGTACGCTGTTTGAGGGAAAAGCTAGCGATTTCTTCTGGCGTTTTCACAAGTCCAGTGGACATATACGTTGGCCAGAGTTATGCGCGGCCTTACGCAAACAATTTAGGGACACTCGCACCGACGTGGATATCCGCGAATTAATACGCGATAGGAAGCAGCGCGAGAAAGAAAGCTTTGATGCATTTTATGATGCGATTGTGCTGCTGACTGACCGTTTGCAAACTCCACTGTCGGAGCAAACGTTAGTTGAGGTTTTGAGGCGCAACTTGAAACCAGAAATTCAGCATGAAATTTTGAATCTGCAGATCAACTCTGTTGAGCAGTTGCGGGAAATTTGTCGCAGGCGCGAATGCTTTTTGGAAAGCATTAATCGCACGCAGACTTATCGTAAAGCACTTCCGTTCAGAACTAACGTAGCTGAAGTAGTCAATGGAGGTAATTGGGAAGAGGCTTCTGAGTTTGGTGAAGACGAAGTTCCTTTAGATATAGAAGCGTTAGCATTAGTCTGTTGGAACTGTAGGAAGGAGGGTCACCGCTATCAGGACTGTATTGCCAAAAGAAAAGTGTTTTGTTATGGTTGTGGAGTGGCAAATACCTACAAGCCATCATGTCAGCGATGCTCAAAAAACGCGAAAGCGAGCACCCAAGGCAGTCGACCGCCTCAGATCGCTCACCATTCTCGGTCGACAAACACGGAGTTGTAGACCAGTATCATAATAAAATAAACTCAACTATTGTTGAAAATATACCGGACGTACCACATTTTGAGACTATGCCTGACATTACGTCATGCTGGCCTCACCGAATTCAGATTTTAAAAGAATCCGCCAACTTTCCAACGTATCTTCATCCTGGTAAACGTTCGCGCAACACAGCTAGACTTAAATCTTTTTGGCATGCAGCGAAAGTTATCTCGGCTATTGGCAAAAATGCTAAGGACCAACGTCCGTATGCAGATATTAAAATATTAGGTCGAGTTGTTTCAGGCTTATTAGATACAGGAGCATCAATGAGCTGTATTAGTGGACAATTGGCCCAGGAAGTTATACGTAGCAAGATAGGACTCAAAAAGATTCTTGGCAACGCTTGCACTGCGGACGGCAGTAGTCAAACAATTTTGGGACGAGTGACATTACCAATTGAATACAATGATAAGAAAAAGAACATTGTATTCCATATAATACCTTCTCTTAGTCAAGACTTATACTTGGGCATAGACTTTTGGAACAGTTTTGGGTTACTTCCATCTAATTTGCAATTGGCAGAAGTAGATAGGGGTACACACAATTTGACTTTGGCTCAGCAATCGGAATTGCAGAATGTTATAGCGCAGTTTCCATCGTTTGCCGTAGCTGGTTTAGGTAAAACACATTTAGTATCTCACTCTATAGATGTGGGCAACGCCAAGGCAATAAAGCAAAGACATTTTCCAGTATCGCCAGCGGTTGAAAAACTTTTATATGCTGAGGTCGATCGATTGTTGAAGCTAAATGTCATTGAGGAGTCAGACAGTGCCTGGTCCTCGCCTGTGGTGTTGGTCCAAAAGCCTGGCAAAGTGCGGCTCTGCTTAGACAGTAGAAAGGTGAATGCAGTTACGCAAAAGGATGCATATCCTTTACCACAAATTGATGGCATACTAAGCAGGCTACCAAAGGCAATGTTCATAACGAGTTTGGATTTAAAAGATGCTTTTTGGCAAATCCCACTCGATACCGCATCTCGCGACAAAACCGCTTTTACCATACCAGGTAGACCTTTATATCATTTTAAGGTCATGCCATTCGGGCTCTGCAATGCTCCTCAAACCATGTCCCGCTTGATGGACAAGGTAATACCAGCGGCTCTGAGGAATGAGGTGTTTATATATCTGGATGATTTATTAGTGGTTTCAGATAGTTTTCAGGCGCATATGCATGTTTTGCGCAAAGTAGCTTCTTGCATACAGGCAGCCGGCTTGACAATAAATTGCGAAAAAAGCAATTTCTGTATGCGTAGCGTAAAATACTTAGGCCACATAATCGGAGAGGGAGTAATACGCACAGACCCTAGCAAAGTGTCAGCGATTGTAGATTTTCCTTTACCTCAGAATTTAAGGGCGTTAAGGCGTTTCCTTGGTATGGCCGGATGGTATAGAAAGTTTATAAACAACTTTGCTGGAGTCACTGCTCCACTAACAGATTTGCTGAAGCAAAAGCGTAAATTTACTATGTCTGTCGAAGGAGAAAAAGCGTTTGAAACTTTAAAATCAATGCTTAGTTCTGCTCCACTTTTGATCAGTCCCGATTTTTCCAAACCTTTTTACTTACATTGCGATGCAAGCAAGACAGGAGTAGGTGGGGTTCTTGTACAAAAGTCAGAAGCAGGAGACGAAATGCCGATTGCATTCGTATCTAAGAAATTAAACAAGGCCCAAAGAAATTATTCTGTCACCGAGCAGGAATGTTTGGCAGCCATCGTATGTATCAAACGATTTCGTCCGTATGTTGAAGGGCATGAATTTACAGTCATTACCGATCATGCCTCTTTAAAATGGCTTATGTCGCAAACCGATTTACATTCCCGTTTAGCGCGTTGGTCGTTAAAACTGCAGGGTTTTCGATTTAATATTGAGCATCGAAAAGGCAAATTAAATATTGTGCCAGATGCGCTGTCACGCGTAAACGAGGACGAATTAGCAGCAATTGACTATAATAAGGGCCTAATTGTAAATTTGGACTCAGAACATTTTAAGTCAGCTGATTATCTGGATATGGTCGAGTCAGTTAAAGCCAACAATGACCAGTTTCCGGACTTGAAGGTGGTTGACAATATGCTGTATAGGCGCACCGTGCATACAACGGGTGATCAGCTACACGACAATTATGCTTGGAAATTGTGGATACCTAAGAACTTGGTCGAGGAAGTACTCCGCAATGCCCATGACAATCCGTTAGCATCACATGGCGGGATCCATAAAACGTTGGAACGAGTCCGGCGTTACTATTTTTGGCCTGGTCTTGTTGATGATGTCAAGACGTACGTAAATGCTTGCGAAACTTGCAAGATGACAAAAGCACCGAATTTTCCGATGCGACCACCTTTGGGCAAACCTGCGGAGTCTGAGAGATTTTTCCAACGTTTATACGTTGACTTTTTAGGTCCATATCCTCGGTCACGCAGCGGAAATATTGCCATCTTCATTGTTTTAGATCATTACTCTAAATTTGTTTTTCTGAAGGCAGTAAGGAAATTGAATGCAGAAACGGTTGTTAAGTACATGCAGCAAGAATTGTTTCATACATTTGGGGTGCCCGAAACTATAGTATCGGATAATGGTTCCCAGTTTAAATCTGAAGCATTTCAAAAATTCTTGCGGGAAAACAAAATTTTCCATTCACTTACAGCGGTGCATTCGCCTCAGGCAAATGCTTCTGAGCGCGTGAATCGCTCAGTTATAGCAGCCATCCGTTCGTATATTCGTCCAGATCAAAAAGACTGGGATGAAAGTTTGAGCAGTATCTGCTGCGCTTTACGGTCTGCTGTCCACTCTGGCCTCGGCACAACACCTTATTACATGGTCTTTGGTCAGCATATGATTACTTCAGGTTCAACGTACAAGTTGCTTAAAACGTTGCGCCTTATTGAGGATAGAGCGGTTGTTTTCTCAAGAGAGGATTCGCTCGATATTGTGCGCAGTAAGGCGCTTGAGACCATGAAGAAACAGCAACAGAAGAACGAAAAAATCTATAACTTGCGGTCGCGTGATGTTTCTTACTCAGTTGGACAAGAAATCTTCCTTAGAAATTTTAAACAGAGTAATTTTCCAGCCGGTTACAATGCAAAGTTAGGACCAGCTTTTGTGAAAGCGAGAGTTCATCGTAGACTTGGAAATTCTTATTACGAGGTTGAAAATTTGCAAGGGAAAATACTGGGTCGTTATCATGCGAAAGACCTGCGACAGTAAATTTGTTTTCTAGCAGCGTCTGGTGTTATCAATCTTGCGTTTGCATGGAAACCCAAGCTTGATTTTAGCAGGGGGGAATTTGTAACGACGCTGGCAGTGAATATCGTATTTTTTTTTATTGCACTACCTTGGTCAAGCAGTGCTTCGGCTGCTTATGTACACACACTGCTTGTGTAGTTACGATTTGAATTAGCGTTATGTTTTAGCGTCAACTGCCTACGATCACATTTTTTTTTTGGCCTTAGTTAACAAGATAAACAAATTTTCTCAATTGTTTTTACTTATTTTAAAGGGAGTTAATTTTCTGCAACCGCACGGCTATCGGCCACCTATTGTTTATTTTCATTGTTGCACAGTGGCAATATTTGCGAGTTGTCAGTGGCCCTTTCTTTAACCTTGACCTGTCGAAAGGAAATTGTCAAAAGAGGTGTGAAGCAATTTCCGTAAAAGAAAGTTTTCTTGCTTGGCCTTAGCATCCGGATCTTTCTTTTTACTTCGAGATCGCCTAGAGGAAGGTTGTGCATTATCCACGCTAACGGGGTTATCAACTTTTTGGTTATACAGATTATATTTGTACCTATAACCTACAACCTAATACAGCAACGATAGTATTAACAGCGAATAAAAAAGTATATAAATTGGCGAAAACTAAATTGGAGGATTCTATTGTCGAAAGGATTTTTCTGCATGGTGCCACTTCCGGACATCGGGTAAATTTTATTTTTCTCGTTTCTTCGCATTTGGAATGCAAATTCTAATTCACATTTTTTTCGATTTACATTGTTTTCGTGCAGAATTGGCACTTAATAATTAGTCCAATCCAATAGGGCATTAACCTTTGCCTGTCGCTTTGATGCGCGCATGCTAATGCAGCGACTAGGCTAAGGGAGGGGTACGCCAGACGAAGGCGTGCCAGAGGTAAGATCGGCTTTCCGATCAGGCCACTGGAACGGCGAGAAGAACCGTCTCTGCAGTTTCGTGGGTCATATCGTCTATGACGGACGTCGCCTAATAACGGAGTGCGAGTGATTTTTTTGTGTTGTCTTCGGTGAAACCTGTGCCTGGGCAATTGGCAAAGCCCCGTTGTGTTGGTTGGAGGCCCGTGGGAAAGAAAAAGGCATAAATTAGCCTACCCCAACCTTTAAAGGCAACATTATATATATATCCACATATATATTTATATATGTGTCCAGCGCAAAAATGAACTTCTCTAGTGCGCTTATTATTCTTTAATTTTTTTTTCCCCTGTGTTAAATCCAAATTTAAATGTACATATGTGTAACCACGCGAGCAAAGCAACTCGGCATGGCGTGATGAAGTGGGAAAGAATATACCTAAGTGAAAACAAAAAAAAATAATACACAAAGCAAAATTCGTTAGCTACAAATGTGTATGTGCATGGCGACAATTTTTTTTCTGGTTTGTTTAAAAAAAAAACACGTTAAAGCCCACCCAGTAAATATCGAACATAAACTTTAGTACAAAAAAATTATGCATGCAAGCAGCGGTGAGCCCACACAGCGCGTCCCCCCCGAAAGATCTTTCGACGTTGGACAAAAACTGTAAGTACAGCCGTTTTAATTTTTATTTTTCATACTTACTTGCGTGCATGCGTACGGAAGTGATCAGCTGTTCAATTGGAACACAGGCTTGCCTGCTAGGCATAAAAACAAACTTAACGCCTTTATGCCAAGTCTTGGCTTTTGTTTCATAATTCTCCTATTATCGGCACGCACATAAACATCCCAAAAGGGGAAAATGCATGAATTTATATAATTCAAATATTTGTTTATATTTTCTTACCCTAATTTCTTTAATATTTGAATATAAATAACCATTTCTTCCAGCCACGCCAATTGCTCTACTCACTTTGCTATACCTACTTATATATATATTTTTTTACTACTAGATATTTAATTAGAAATGTTCATAGGCTTGATTTCGTCGTAAAGGTTAAGGCGAAAGACTTGAAAACTAGTTTTAACTTGCCGTTGGATAAAGTTAGGTTATATATGGAACTTCGAAAAGACAAGGTGTTCAATGAATTTAGTTTTTAATAAAAACATTATAATGATTGCTTAAATTTTCCGGTCTTATGATTTCCGCTAGCCGCAGCATGTAGAGGTTTGAAGGGGTCATTCGCATAATTGTTTTAGGATATGAATGACCAAGGATGGGTGGGCCAATACTTCCTCAACGTCAACAGAGGAATACCAAAGGTGTGTCCACTTGTGTCCTGTGATCTGCAAACCCAGCTTTCTTCTTTTTGTCCTATTTGTGTCAACTTACCGATTTTTATGGCTTTTCCGATAGCACGCTTTGTTTTTAAATAATAAGCTAATTAAAAGGCCGTAAGATATGAGAGTCATCGAACACCACCCATTAGCCGACGAGCCCGAGCCGGAACATACTAGCGTGCGCTCTCAATCTTACACCCACCACCTCGCCTACACTAATGGGCTATTGTCTATACCCGTTACAGTTTGATTGCAAATTGTCTCGTTTTATAAGTTTGCTGTTTATGTTCGATTTGGCGAATCGTGTGTGCTTTGCTCGAGCTCTAGGCACAGGCTCAGCCTCATTTTCTGTGCACTTCTCAGTCCGCATTTAGTTGTTATTGTTGTTGTTCTTGTTTTTGTCACTATTCTGCCTCTAGCACCGCCACCGCCATCTCCATCACCATCTCTTATAGGAAACCTTGAACCCATTTTAATGGTCTATGCTTCGTTGTGCAAGCACGCCGTCCCACAAAGAAGCATTTCAGCAATTTAATTTAATTTGCCGCTACCGCCAACCATTAGTGAAAAATAAGTTGGCCTGAAGTATTAGAAGCATTGCATAAATCTAATTGAACATAATGATGAGATATTGCTGCTTACCGAGTTGTTCTTTGAAGCATATTCGACTATTCGCAGTTTCGGCTCTTCTTTTAACTATAAATTAAGGCCATTACATAGCGAATTATTTTATGCTTCTGCCGCTTGTACAAGGCAGTTCCAAGCTGAAAAGTAAATGGATTTGAATTCATTTTGTCTTTGATTTAAAAGGCCTTCCCCAAATAAAGAATTTAATATCTACAGAATGATTAATTCATAAACTCCTTTACAATATGCAAATTTCTTCTGTGAAAATATACCAGACCACCTAGGAGCAACCTATAGTTTTAATTGTATATTATTAACACTTTAAAGATCGACTACTATTAGCAGTTTTCTTATTACATCGAATGGTTTTGAATCTCATTATATTAGCTTCAATATTATAAATGCTTTAATACTAGTATCCTATCAGACCTAACAGGGCTCTGGAAGTGAAAGTGGAAAGATAATCAGAATATCCAACAATAAAACGATATCTATTAATGTATTCAAAGAAAATGGCCAATATTATTCCTGAATAGAACAGGTCCTCAGATTATCCCGTCAATAAATAAATTAAGACAACACTCGTTTTGAAAGATATTTATAATTTAAAGATGCTACTAGTCTGAGAAGAAAGATGTGAAAAGTATTGCTTATATATTTCCTACTTTCCATTTGCATTCCTAAAAAATATGCATATCTCGCTAAAGAGATATTTGAAAATTGAATTTCTCTCGCCGCTTACATCATTTGCGAGTTGCCTAATGGCCCAACTATTTGGCAGCGAGCCATTATTCATGCCACACACGCCATTCGACGACTTCAACGACTTTTACATTGCCACGGCGACATTTCAAATGTCATTTTTGAGATTGCAACGGAAAAACCAGAATATCAAAGTGAGAAACCTACGCAGAAATGAGGCAGCCAGCGCATGCATAAATTACATTCAGTGTGCGCTCACACTTATATATATATTTGTTGTTGTTAAATTTTCTCATAAACATTAATTAAATTGTTGCTGACTCTCTGCTCGTTCCATTGCAGTCTATGGCAAGCGTGTGATTTCCCGCTCCTGCTTCTACGAGGATATGGACGATCCGGCCGACAAGTGCGCGATGGACACGACCTCGTCCTACATCAAGACCGTCTTCTGTCGCACGTGCACCAGCGATGGCTGTAATGGTGCCTCCAGCTATGCGCCCCTCTCCGCCCTGCTCCTGCTGCTGCTGCCGCTAACTGCGATGCTCGCGCCGTTATGCAAATGAGCTGCACGCTATTTTCAGTGCGTTGGGGGCTAAACTTAATTACTCGTATATAGATGGAAAACTGAATTTACAACTTATGCGTTTAGTCTTGTCTTTTCGATGAATTTTTCACACATAATCGTATCACAAAATATGCTTCATTTCCCGCCTAGTTAAGTCGCGAAACTTTAACTTATTGTATTATTTTTTAAATTGTAAGCAGTGGCACCCACAAATATCATATTTAGTCACAATGCCTTAAAGTGCAGCTGCACAACTTTTTGATACAAATAAACGCACAGAAGCGCACGAACACAGACAGCAGTAGGACTTGCGGGAATGTGGTCGCCCCTGGAATGATGCTGAAATCCTGTTTTCGAGAACTAAAAACTGGACTTCAAACTTGACTGTTGCTTATCTAAGCTGTACTTCTATCAAGCTGGCTTTGAAGAGAGATTCAAGCTAAGGCGAAATAAGAAATTAAGAGAATTCCGCAAACCACACGACTATTTGCCATAAATATGATGCTACCTTTTCCTAGCAGTCTAACACGAAAAGGTCGTTTCATTCAGTTTAGAGAGAGATTTAAAATAAAGAGAAGCAATTTGTGAAGAGCCATATGAAATCCATGTTTTTGTTATAATATGTGCCCTTTTGTCAATTTCGTAAGTCGGGTGCTTCTTCTTTCAGATGTACCTCAGTGCCTTGGAAAGAGAGTTTTAGAATAAAGAGAAATAATATGTAACTAGCCACTTCGATGATTAAACAAATTGTTTTTTCTCTCTCATTTCTCCTAACTATTTACCCAGGAGCCTTCTTAGAATTCAGTTAGCTTTTAACTGTTGCTCTTCAGACAGATGTCCTAAAGCGTACTTAAAACTATTAGAAATTGATATTAGACATATGTACAAACATCAGCGCTAAACTTGTTTTCCTCTAAATAGTAGCTAGAGAAACAAAAGTGTAAACAGAAACAACTGAATAACTTCTCGAAGTTAAATATATTTTCCAAATTTGTTTCCCAACATTGATCCATCGCGGAAATGGGAATAGTCCCTAATACTCTTTTATATATATATATATAGTATGACGTTCGTTACGATAACCGAATGTACGGTCATACGGTCGCTTTTCTAGTCTCTGCTTTTAAAATGTGAAAAGCGAATTGAAATGCAAATGATTACCATAGACTTGCTTTGCATAAACACTTTCCCTTTTTACTGGTTTCTCAGGCAAAAGGCGAAATGCTGCTGCTGGAAGTATGAAAGAGTTGTTGTTAGACAAGCCCACACAAAATAGTTCAGTTCAGTTTTTGTTTTCCAGAAGTACCTTTACCTCCGAGTCCTGCTGCTCACTCACAAATAAACGTTCATAAATACATACTACATATACTTATCTCCTTCTATATACACGAATCACAAATGTAAATGTTAGTAGCTATAAAATGTAAACGGTTTCTATTTGTAATTTTGTATGTAAAAAGAAAAACAAACCTCATTCAGCCAGAGCAATCGAAAATTAAAAACTTAACTACGAAATCAATAAAACGTAATACTAAACACATGTACACCAATTTATTGTAATTGAAGAAAACGATCTAATTTCGTGAGGTTAATTACAAATAAATGTAATAGATGGTACAAATAACTCAGCTATTTATTGTTTTATTTCTATAATCGAAAGATATGGACAAGCTGGGACGATAGAAAAGAAGAAACCAATTCTAGAACTATCGATTGAAAAGCAGATAATTCCTAACTGGAGACTAGAGTGGCTAGTCATTTTAAATTGTTAAAGAACGAGTGATGCTTCACATCTGTCCAATTCGTTTTTATTTGTCTAGTTTTAATTTTCTGCTGCGGAGTTGGCCAAAACACGACAGTTTGAAATTTTTTAAATAATTGACTACTCTTACAGAATTTTTAAGCTGTAACGATTACAACGACTAGTTTACAGAGCAGCTCCTCTAGATGTTGGTTTTCTTCTATTAATTATAAAAATTTGGATTTACAATTTGGACTTGAATTAATATTAATAATATTAAATTATCAATATTATAATAATTATGAAAATTGGATTTTAAAAATAGAACAAAAAACATTTCTCTACATTTTAATATCACACCATTCCTTTTTGAACTTCATCACATTTCTTGCCATTCAGGGGCAGAGAGCTGAGCTACATTTAACATTTAGTTATTTGACATTTAGGTTACATTCACAAGGCAGCACTCACACATATATTACAATCACAATTTTAGACTTACATTCTATGTTACATTTATTTGTTCTATTAAGCGTATTTTCGACTGCATTCAATTTTGTTAAGCCAAGAGAGTCCATCGTCATTTGTTTCCGATCTGTTTAGTTTAGATTTTCAGGCAGAGAGAATTTTTGCGTTATATGGATGAGATGAGATGTTGTCCATCCGCCAAGCCAAGATGATGCCAAGATGCGAAGATGATGATGATGTCTGCTGTTGTTGTTGTCCACCGAATCATGCATCCCCACACCAAATCCTTCCACACCAACACCGAAACTTCAGGGGGGACCAAACCCACCAACTGAGAATTTCGACCATGACCGTCGGCAGTAGACGTCAACACACGCCACTGCACCGGGCCGAGAAACGTCATCGCTAACTTTCCCTTTGAAGTGCATTCAGAATGTGTAGCATAACGAAAGGAGGTCAGCTTTTTTCGGTCGAGTCCTTGTAATTCACAACCAGAAAAGACAAGCCATGTGGGAGACAGGATAACTCTTTTTAGACTTACAAAAGTACTGCTAATGGGCTTTTATATATATATTTTTTTAAGTTATTTTTTTATTTTTTTTATGGCCTTAATTGACCTGAAAACTCACTTTTACAAGCTTGGCCAATGAGTAAACTTAGAGACGAAGTCCCTAATAAGAATAAAATTCTCTATTTACGATTCTTATTATTACCAAATATTATTTTTATAATATTTATTAAATTTTTACTTAAGAATAAGCTACACCCACCTTACTTTTTATTTTAATTGGCTTGTTAATGTCAAATATATAAGAAGTTTCTGCACCCACAACAATTAGTCGCACCCCCACTTTTTCCCACTTCTTTAGCTTCTTTTCCAACTTGCTGCCACATGATTTTTGTGCCACACGCAGTTACAACAATAATTTTGTATTTCCAGAGGCAAATCAAAATTAATTGTCTCACATCATTGCGCTTGACATTGCACAGAACAAGTAGCGAGGGCTGTACGATAAGTATATCCATATTTAACCAATGAAGAGATGGATTTTGGAATCTGATGGTGCAACAAATTTCTTAGCATTTACAAAAATTTGGTACTTTAATAGCAGTCTTTAACATTTTTAATTACGCTGAAATCAGTAAAAGATGTAAGTAGTTGGCTAAGTAAAGAGATCTCACGACTCTTAGATTTCTAACATAAATATTTTAACGATTTAAATGGCAAGTATTTAAAGAAGTATTTCTATTAATGAAGACTGTACGAATGGTTTATATTTCAAATTGTTTAGAAATACAAAAATTAGCTCCATTACCAGTATATTTTCAATAAATAAAATAATTAAGGAAACAATGTCCATATTCAAATGTCTAGTCTGACAAATTTTCCCTTACATATTGAATAATAAATAAATGTTGTTTTTAAATTTAAGCAAATATTGCAATAAACAAGATCAATCTGATGTCACAAGCTACACACTAATTTGAAAAATTCCATATTCCGTGTGTGGCATTGATGTTATTTCATACAAAAATTAAGACAATTCCTTCCTAAAAGAAAGTTTGTGTATTCTCCTCTCTTGAAGAGTATCCACATACATCTATCCCTATACCTCTTAACATTGGAAGAGTATTGTGCAAGTTGATTACTATATTACTATTATTATAGCTCTTTCGATTTATTTAGATATTTTGGGAGAAAATCTTTGAATTCACAATGTAATCTGACTACAGGAAAACGTATTTAAATTATTAGCATATACTTAGTGGGTACTGGTTCTATAAAACATTCAACAAGGCATTGTAAGTTGTTTTAGTTTTCAAAATTTGCACACAATTTTATTTCTATTGATGTATTTACAATACAAATTTGATGCTGTTTAGTTTTCAATTATATAAATGCCTGCCCCATCTGTGTAATTGTCCCAAGGTTGTGAGTCATGGCCCTTGGTTGAACACGCTGATTTTGCCATGTAAGGGCCCCTGACACAGTAGCGGACCTACATGCCACAATGAGCGTGTTTAAGCAAGGCCACGAGCCCAAGAGAAACATTGGCGGTAAATGCGGACCTATATTCTGCTGCTTGCCGCATTTTTCCGACCTCAGCTGTCATTGAGTTGCAGCAATTGCTGGCGGATGTCGACAGCTGCTTTGGCTTTTCAGCAAGTTCGTCGCAGTTCGCTGGCGGGGAACTGTTAAGTCTGCTAAAGCGGTCCTCAGTCCGTTGGCAGATTAATAGCCCATCTATCAGACTCCTATTAGATGAGCCACGCAGTCTGATATATTAAAGAGAAGTTGTTTGCCACAACAATATAAGTTACCTTTTTCTGTAGCACATAGTCTATTACCGGTTTTTATTTGTGGAAAGTGTGCATGCGACTAATGCTTTCATCTGATATACTTGTAAATTGAAAAGCGAATGTTGCGGATTTACTTTTCCAGACATGCTTCTCTATTCTAGCAAGGTATTTTTTCGATTATATGTTAGCACGTTATTTTGTAAGCACTGTTCGATTTGAATTATAAATCGACAATCGTCTACAAACCAATTCAAAAAGGGACGCACGCATATCTGCCAGCAGCTGTCGGAACCAAAAACTTATTAAGACAACCTCGCTTGTATTGTGTGGATAAAATAAAAATTTAATTGCTCGTTTGCTCAACGGCCGAGTTCACAGAGAACGGAAATGAGTTCAGCGAAACTCTTTATTCATTTAATTTTCGAACATTTTGCCGACCACGCAAATATCTGTTCAATGCCTGCAGTGATTAGTGAATTGTTGAGGAACTGGCGCTGATTAACTGCAAGCGCGTTTTTATGAAGCTCTAATTAAATTTTGAAAAAATTTAAAAACTCATAAAAATAATTACAGATATAAATAAAGTGATGTATAAAATAAAAATGGGTGGCGGCAATTTAAAACTGAAACTTGTCGCGCCACTTTTATTTGCTTTTCAGATATGTATTTTAATAGTATTTTTTTCCTTTTTGTTCGTTTAGTTAACAGCAAAAATGTCGAACAGTTTTTGCAATAAAACTGGCAATTTATCAAAGTGCATGGAAAAATATTAAAAGTCGCAAAAAATATTGTCCAACGCGCTTATGTTACGCATACGCCCCGAGGCGCTCGCTCAGCGCTGCGTTCGCTGCGTTGGCTGCTGGTTGAGGTCTGCGCGCATGCACAGCATTTTAATTGCGCAAAGGCCGGCCTGGCTAGCCTAGGCTAGGCTAGGCTAGGCCCGACCCGACCTGGCGTTATGACTAAACTTGGTCTAGTGGCAAATGTCCAAGTTTATTTGTTGATTTTAGTTTTTATTGCTGCTGCGGCTGCGGCTGCGGCTGCCTAGGCTTAACCTCCTAATCCGAAACGCGCGTTTTGTTTGTTTAGTTT